GTGTGTGTGTGTGTGTGTGTGTGTACACTACCAATCAAAAGTTTGGACAGCTTCTCATTCGATGGTTCTTCGGAGTAAACAACAACTCTGTTTGTATTGTAGCTTCCTCCCTTTGCTTTGTCGACAGCGCTGCAAACCCTCGGCCTCCTCTCAGTGAGCTTCATGATGTAGTCACCTGACATGGTTTCACCTCACAGGTGTGCCTGTCAGGGTTCATTTGACAGGTCGGTGCACAGCTGACAGCTGCTGGAAGTTATCTCATGGCAAGAACCAATCAGCTGAGAGAAACAACCGTCCACCATTACTTTAAGAACTGAAGGTCAGTCGGTCCAGAAAACTGAATGTGTCCCTGAGTGCAGTCACAGAAAGCATCCAGCACTGGGATGATCACATGAGGACGCCCCAGTGAAGGAAGACCAGAGTCCCTCTGCTGCTGAGGACACATTCATCCGAGTCACCGGCCTCAGAAATCACAAGTTAGCAGCAGCTCGATCAGAGCCCAGATAGACACACAGCTCCAGCAGCAGACACATCTCTGCATGTTCAGAGCAGACTGTGTGAATCAGGCCTTTGTGGTCAAACAGCTGCTGAGAAACACGACTGAGGAGAAGCAACAAGCAGAGATTTGTTTGATCTGAGAAACACGAGGATGGACGTTAGACCATCTGTGCTTTGGGCTGATGAGTCCACAGCTGAGATCTTTGGCTCCACCTGTTCATGTCTTGTGAACTGATGGTCTCTACATGCATGGTTCCCACTGTGAAGCATGGGGGAGGAGGTGTGATGGTGACACTGATGGGGATTTATTCCAAACTGAAGGCGCACTGACCCAGCATGGCTACCACAGCATCCTGCAGCAACATGCCATCATTCTTCAACGGCACAATGAGCACAAACACACCTGCAGGCTGTGTGAGGCTCTGTGATGGAGCGGTGCAGACACAGTCACCTGAACCCAGTGGAGATGGAGCGCAGAGTGAAGGCAAAGGGCCAACAGGTGCTCAGCATCTCTGAACTCCTTCAACACTGTTGGAACCATTTCAGGAGACGACCTCATGAAGCTCGTGGAGAGAAGAGAAATATGAAGCAAAGGGGGGAAATTATGAAGCATGGAAAACTAGGGCTGAGTATCGTCACTGTTTCAGTTTTGACTCAGTCAGAAATATTCTAATTCTGATCATTTATCAGCACATATCCATATTTTATATGTGTGTATAAACCAAAGCTGGCACTGAGACTCCATCAGAGATGTGAGCATCACAGCAGCTTTGTGTCAACTGAGGCTCAAACAGAAACATGAAGCAGCTTTTCCTGTTCTGCCTTTTTATAGCAGAGAACCTTAAAAATGTTCTGCAGTCGATCAAAAACTGGAGCAAACCATGAATCAAATGTGAACGTGACCTGATGAAGTGAAGCAGAGTCACAGAGGTTTGATTACAGACACAGCTGAGCAGTAAAAGTTTGCATTCGTTCAGTTTGAGCAGCAGAGACGAGGCTTTGCTGTCAGAGGCGACAGCGCTGAGCACAGCAGCAGCTGCTGGCTGATAAACAGATTTGATGGTGAACTGGTCTCTGAGCACTGAGAGAGAGCTGTGCAGGAGCCAGGGTCAGAGTTCATGAGCTTGTTGATCAAACGTGAAGCGTAGTTTGATCTTCTGCTGCTGGTTCAGTCAGTTTGGGTCCGAGTGACGAAACCTGCAGCTTCAGGATCTGTGAGCGGTCGACTCTCAGCAGACGAGCTGCTGGAACAGTTCATGCTGGGTCTGACAGAAAGGTCACACTTGGACCTCTGACCCCTGTCCACCTTTGAAAGCAGCAACATTGGACACATGAGCATCAGATCTGGACCAGGGAGCATGCGGGAAGCTGGGCAGGTCTGATGAATCACGTTGTCTTTTCCATCGCATGGATGGCCAGGTGTGTCACTTACCTGGAGAACACCTGACACCAGGATGCATTATGGGAAGAAGCCAAGCCGGCGGAGGCAGCGTGATGCTTTGGGCGATGTTCTGCTGGGACACCTTGGGTCCTGCAAAAGGGTTAGGGGTGAGGGTGTTGTCCACAAAACAATTTAATGAGTGGAAAAGAACGATCTATTTATTTGGCAGAGTAAAAAACCCAGGGTACGACTTAAAACTCTACAGTTGCCAAAAAACCAAGGTGGATAATCCTTACCCAGCCTGGAGGACGA